GGGGGGGATCCTGCTGGGGGCACATGAGGAAGGGTTCCCTGGGTCGGGGGTCACCTGGGTTTTCCCAGGATGGTGGAGGGTGTCTCCAACGTCTGGGTGGGGGGAATTCCTGGGTAGGGGAATCTGGGGGTTTGAGGGGCTTGGGGGTGGAAGGGGGGTTCCCACTCACCCTGCAGGTGGGGGCACTTGTGGCACTTGCTCTGGCCCCAAGCGCTGCCGATGCTGCCACAACAATCCTCGAGCTTGGTGAGCCCCGGGAGGGGGTTGCTGCCGCACTGGGGGGGAATTGGGGTAGGGAGTTCAGCACCCTAAATACCCCTGACACCCCCCCCACCCAAACAGACACTCCCTGCACTCCCAGGGACCCCCGAGGACCCCCAGCAGCAATCTTTGAGCTTGGTGAGCCTGGGGAGGGGGTTATGCTGCACTGGGCAGGTGTGGGGGGTCAGCACCCCCAAATACACCCCTGAAGCCCTAAAAAACCCCCTTGCACAGCCAGACAAGCCCATAACCCCCCAAATCTCCCAGCCCTCCATGCCCACCAGCCCCCCTCGATACTGCCCTGCATCCCCAACAACCCCCTGAACCCCAAATCCCCCCAAGCCCCCCCCAGCTCCCCACTCACCGAGTGCTTGGGCAGGGTCTCCTGGAAGCAGCGGCCCAGGGGTTTGTGGGTGTGGGGCCGGGGGGGCGCAGGGGGTTTGCTGCCTGCGGGGGGCTGGGCGGGGTGCGCCAGGAGCCCCCCACTGCCCCGGGGGGCCCCCTCGGGGGGGCTGTGGTTCGATGCGGTGAACCTGCACCGAGGCCTCGGGGGGGGTGATGGACCCGCACGTTCACCAGCGGCGGCGGCACCTGCGCTGGGGGCAGCAGCACCTGGGACCCCCAAACCCCCAAACCCGGCACCAGCACCCCGGGAGCCCCTAAACCCAGCACTGGCACCCTAGGACCCCTGGCACGGGCACCGGGGACCCCCTGAACCTCCAAACCCAGTACTGGCACCCTGGGACCCCCCAGCATGGGCACCCCAGGACCTCCTGGGCCCCCAAACATCTGTGCTGGGGGCACTGACACCTGGGACCCCCCAGCATCCCCTGACAGGCACCTGTAGGACCCCCCGGGACCCCTGGTATGGGCACCCCCAGACATGTGACCCCCAGAACCTGCTGCCCCCCAAGACCCCCTCCCACACCCCTGAGCTCCCCCAGCCCCCGGTACCTTCAGATGAGTGGTGCCCGGGCCCCAAGGGCACCACGAAGGTGGCGTGGCTGACGTGTCCCCCCCCGTGCCCCCCGCCATGCCCCCCGCCATGGGTTGCCCCAGGGGGGGGCTCAGGGGGGGCCGCTGCCCCCCCCGGGCCGTCGGCAATGACCTGGACGGCGTAAACGGCGACCTTGGAGCCCGGGGGGGGGCTCGGGAGGGGCATCGGGGGGAGCGGGAGGCGGCGGTGGGGGGGGGGCCCCCCCCGCGCCCCCCCGCGGGGACCTGGCAGAAGCGGCCGGTGAAGTTGGGGGGGCACAGACAGTGGGAGCGGGAGCTGCACTGGCCCCCGTTCATGCAGGGCAGGGGACACACCACTGTGGGGGCAGAGCAGGGGTCACACAGAGCCCCTCAAATCCACTGAGCCCCCCCGCCCTCCCCACCCCCCCTTTAGCCCCCCAGATCCTCCCGAGCCCCCCAAACTCCCTGAGCCCCCCCAGACCCCCTCAAGCCTCCCCTAATGCCCTGAGCCCTGAGATCCCCTGAACCCCCCTGAATCCTCCCAAGCCCCTCCCAAAGGCCCCCAGACCCCTCCTGCACCTCCTTTGTCCCCTGCAGGGCCCCCCGAAGTCCTTGTCCCACCCTGTCCCTGTGCCATCCTATCCCCATCCCCATGCCATCACAGCCCCATCCCCAGGGTTCCCATTCCCATCCCCATCTCCATCCCACACTGCCCCTGTCCTGTTCCTCTCCTTGTCCTGGGCCCTATAGGCAACCCTGTCCCCACCGCTGTCCCACCCCATCCCATCCCTGTCCCCATGTCCCCATCCTCATCTCAGTCCTGGTGCTGTCCCAATTCTGTCCTCACTCCTGTGTCATCCTGTCCCCATCCCATCCCTGTCCTGGTGTCACCCACCCGCTCCGGAGCTGGACCCAGTCAGCATGTTGGCCATGTCCCCATCCCTGTCCCCATGTCCCCATCCCTGTCCCCATGTCCCCACCCCTGTCCCGGTGCCGCTCACCCACTCTGAAGCCGGACCCGGTCAGGGTGTTGGCCGCGTGCCTGACCCCGTCCCATCCCTGTCCCATCCCTGTCCCGGTGTCCCTGTGCCCATATCCCCACCCCTGCCCCTGTGTCCCTGTGCCCACCCCTGTCCCGGTCCCCACCCCTGTCCCGGTGCCACTCACCCACTCTGAAGCCGGACCCGGTCAGGGTGTCGGCCGCGTGCCCGTTCTCTCCGATCAGGGTCATGTTGGAGCCGGGCTGACACGAGTCCCGGCACAGCCCCTTCAGACACGTCCTCCGGCAGATCAGGGGAGCGAAGACCACCTTGAAGCGCTCGCGGGCCACGGCCGCGCCCCCCCCGCGTCCCCCCAGCGCCGCCAGCGCCGCCAGCGCCACCACCCAGAGCCCCTCCCAGCGCCACATGGCGACCCCCGACCGCGGGACCCCCGGGACCCCCGACCCCGGCCCCGCGAGGGGCGAGAGCTCAGGGCCGGACGCCAGGGATCCCTGCGGAGGGGGGGGGTCCCGGACCCTGGGGTCCCTCAGGAGGTTCTCCCGGAGGCCTGGGACCCTTGGGGGGGTCCCAGATGCCTGGGTCCCCTCTTGGGGGGGTCCCAGATGTCTGGGGCCCTCTTGGGGCTGTCCTGGACCCCTCTCAAGGGGCTCCCGGACCCCCTCCAAGCCCTGAGGCCGAGGGTCCCCCTCTGGGGGTCTCCCGGGCTCCGGGGTCCCCTCGCAGAATGCGGGGTCTCCTCTGGGGGTGTCCCAGAGGCCGGAGCCCCCCCGCCGGACGCTGGGGTCCCCTCGGGGACGTCCCGGACTCCAGGGTTCCCTCGCCGGATGTGGGGTCCCGTCTGGGGGTGTCCCGGACACGGGGGTCCCCCCGGTCGGGTCGGGGTGGGGGGGTTCCCGCCGGACTCCCGAGTTCCCGCGGCCGCCCGGGATGGCGCTGGAATGGGGGGGAGGGACGGGGGGGCCCAGGCGGGGGAGGGGGGCGGGGGCCGGGCCCTGGGTCCGCTCCAGGAATTGGGGGGGGGCGGGGGGGGGGGGAGGAGAGGAGCCCGGATGGCCGGGCCGGTTCCAGCGCCGGGCACAGCCGGGGAGACTCGGGGGGGTGGGGGCGGGAAGGAGCGATGGGACCCCTGAAACTCCTGGGACTTGTCCCATGGCCAGGATGAGACCCCTCCCGGATGCCTGGAGCCTCCCATGATGGGATGTGGGGTCCCACCAAACTTCTGGGACCCTCCCAATGGGGCCCACCGGAACGCATGGACCCCCCCCCCCTGGGGAAACGGGGACCCCCCCAAACTCCTGGGACCACCCCATGGGGGGATGGATCTCCCCTCAAACCCCGGGGTCCCCCCGGGGGCGGTTGGGGCCCCCCCCTCACAGGGCTGGGTCCCCTTCATGGGGAGATGGGCCCCCCCCAAATCCCTAAGATTTCCCCCCAAACCCCTGGGACTCCCCCAAACGACCTCGCACAGGGCGATGGGGAAGATGGACCCCCCCAAACCCCTGGTACCCCCACAAGGGGAATGGACCCCCCGGAAGAGCTGGGATGTGGGGGAGAATGAGACACTCCCCCCAAAAACCACTGGTTCACCCCCCAGGGTGGCGGGGCCCCCGAACACGCGGGTCCCCCCGCGCTGTTGGGCCCCCGCCGGGCAGGACGAGGCGGCTCAGGCGGTTTTGGGGTCTCGGGAGTTTATTTGGTCACAGTCGTCCCTCCCCTCCCCTCCCCCGGACCCCCGTCCAGTGTCGGAACCGCCCGGGGGCGGGGCCTCCGCCGGGGGGCGGGGCTTCCTGAATCCCACCAATGGGGGCGGAGCTTCCTGTTTGCCCGAAGAGGGCGTGGTTTTCCTGCCGTGGTGGCCCCGCCCCGTGGGGGGCGGAGCTCTTGTAATGCCCTTTACTTTGACCAATGGGGCGCCTGGGCGGGCGGGGCTTCTGCCACCGCCAGCTGTCCATCACGACCCGGCGGGGGCGGAGCCTCGCGCTCGTCACGGCCGCTCATTGGTCACTGGAGGGCGGTGGGGGCGAGTCCAGGCGCGCCGCGGGCGTTCATTGGTCGGTGAAGGGGTCGCGGGGGCGGGGCCCGGCGGGGGGCGGGGCCCGGCGCGGTCCCGCGGACACGAAGCTCCAGGGGTCGATGCGGGGGCGGAGGGGCGAGGGGCGGGGCCGGGCGGGGCCTGCGGGAAAGGGGGCGGCTTGAGGAGGCCGTGGGACTCCCGATGCCCCACGACCCCCAGAAATGCCCCGCACACCCCTCATAAATGCCCCACGGCACCTCTGAGCGCCCCCAGAGCCCCAGAACTGCCCCAAGGTGGCCCCTGACTGCCCCCTCCTGCCCCACAGAGCTCGAGAGCTGCTCCACACTCCCCATGGCTGTCCCAACCGCCCCAAATCTGCCCCTCAGACCCACCAAGTGCCCGAGCCCCACTTACCCCACTCGGGGGTCCCGGCACCCGGGCTCAGCTCTCGGGGTCTCCTGGCACCCCGGGGGGATGGCGGCAGCCCCAGCTCAGGGGTCCCGGGTGTCCGGGCACGGCCCAGCTCAGGGGTTCCGGGGATCCGGCCATGACCTGGCTCAGGGGTCCCGGGGGTCCCGGGGTGACACAGCTCAGGGGTCCCAGGGGTCCCAGGGGTCCTGGCTCCCCCTTGCTCAGGGGTCCGGGACCAGTTCAGCTCCAGGGTCTTGGGAGTCCGGGCTCGCCCCTGCTCAGGGGTCCTGGGGGTCCCAGGGGTCCGGACTCCGCTGGGATCTGGGGACCCAGGAATCTGGGCTCGCCCCAGCTCAGGAGTCCTGGGGGTCCCCGGGGTCCGGACTCCACTGGGATCTGGGGACCCGGGGGTCCAGGCACGACCCAGCTCGGGGGTCCCAGGTGAGCTCAGCTCCGGGGACCCCATGGTCCGATCCCGCCAGCGGGGGGAGAGGCGCAGGAGGCCGGGGGGGGGGGGGGGGGGGCGGGGGGGGGCGGGGGGGGGGCCAGGTCACGGCCCAGCCCCAGGGACGCCAGCAGGGCCGAGCCCCTCAGCAGCGCCCGCCGCAGCAGCCGCGGGGTCCCCCCCCCGAGACCCCCGGCCCTCCTCAGCTTCAGGGGGCCCGGCCTCACCTGCAGGACACAGTGGGGGTCAGTGTGTGGGGGGGCAGGGATGGGACCCCCGGGACCCCCCGGACTCACCATTGGGGGATGCATCCCCCGGGCTCAGCTCGTCCGTGTCCAGGTACCAGGTGGTCTCGTCCGGGCGCAGCCGCCGCCTGCAGGGGGGGCCCAGGTGTCCGGGGGGGTTCCAGGTGTCTGGAGGGGGGTGGGACCCCCTTGATCCCCCCCCCAACCTCCCCAGGGACCCACCTGCCGTTAGGGGCACTGCCCTTGCCCCCGCGCCCCCGCGGCAGCTCCTCCTCCTCCTCGGGTTCCACTGGGGATAGAGGGGGGATGTCACTGGGGGGTGTGGGTGTGACATCACCAGGAGGTGTGACGTCACCAGAATCACCTCCCACCCCCCCGATGACATCACTCACGCTGGATGGCACGCAGGCGGGGGAAAGGGGGGGACCCCCCTGGCCCGTCCTCAGAGTCGTGACTTCGGGGGTCCCCTCCCGGAGCAGCCTGGACCGTCAGGCGATGCTTGAAGTCTGGGGGGGGCACTGGGGTCAGCAGAGCCCTTGAACCCTGCCAAAACCCCCAAGCAAGCCCCAACAGCCCCCCAGACACCCTCCAGGCCCCCAAAACTCCCAGGGCCCTAAACTCCCCCCAAAGCCCCTCCAACCCCCCCAGCTCAAACAGCCCACTGCCCCTCCAGTCCCCCCAGAGCCTCCCCAGCACCCACAAAGGCCCCAGCTCCCAAAACCCCTGGCCCCCCCGAAGCCCCCAGGCCCTGTTTTCCCCCCCCGTACCCTGGGGCATGCCAATGAGGTCTGCGGGCCGCCGCGGCCGCCGGAAGGGGGGTCGGCGTCGCTTGGGGGCCGAGGGGGGCCGGGGGGGCCCCCGGAGCATCAGGCTCAGCTCCCGCTCCAGCACCTCCAGCTCCCGCCGGGCCACGGCGGCCTCGCGCTGCCGCAGCGCCTCAGCCTGGGAGCGCTGGGCCCGGGACGCCCTGGCCACGGCCTCCTCCCGGCTCCGCAGCTCCTGGGGGGCACAGGGGGCACGGGATCACTGGGGGCACGTGGGGTCATGGGGGACATGGGGGTCACTGGGGACACGGGGGGACACGAGGGGCCTGGGAATGCTGGGCCCTGGCCAGAGCCTCCTCCCAGCTCCTGGGGGGCCATGGGGGTCATCGGGGTCACGGGAACAAGGGGGTCCCAGGGACAAGGACCAGCCACGAGCAGCACCAGGGCAGGGCTGGGCCCTGCTGCAGAGTTTTGGGGGGTTGCATGGGCGTCCCAGGTGTCCCAGGGGATCTCCAGGTGTTTGCCATGGATCTCTATTGTTCAGGGGCTCCAGGGAGGTCTAGGGGAGTCCGAGGTGTTTGGAGTGGCCCCAGGCGTTGGGAGGGTCCCAGGGGTGTCCGAGGTGTTTGGGGTGGCCCCAGGAGTTGAGGGGGTCCCAGGGGTGTCCCAGGTGTTGGGGGTGGCCCCAGGAGTTGAGGGGGTCCCAGGGGTGTCCCAGGTGTTGGGGGTCCCACCTTCTCGCGTGCCCGCAGCTCGTCGAAGAGCCCCTGGATCTCACGGCGCCAGGACTCCTGCAGGGAGTGGAAGGACTCGGGGGGCCCCAGCCCCGCCGGCTCCAGCCCCCCCAGGCGCCGCAGGATTGCCCCAAAGCCCGGCCGCCGGTGGGGGTCCTGCTCCCAGCAGGCTAAGGGGGGAACCGAGATCCGGGGGGGCTCGTGGGGGACCCCAACATCCCCCAGGGACCCAGGTACCCCCTGGTCCCTCTCCTCTGGAACCCAGGGGTCTGGGCACCCCCAAACCCCTGAGGATCCCAATATCTGCAATCCCCCAACACCTCTGAGCTGCCTGACATCCCCCCGTGGCCCCCCTGAACCCTCCCAGCCCTCCTGCCACCCCCCCATACCTGCCATGACCCAGGCAAAGGGCAGGATGGGGACCCAGCCCCCAGTGTCACCCCATCCCCTGTCCCACCTGGCCCCCCCGAGCCCTCAGGTCTCCCCCAGGCCCCGATCCCCCCGTACCTGCCATGAGCTGGGCGAAGGGTGGGGGGCAGGTGGAGGGGATGGGCAAGGTCAGTTTGTTCACGGCCACCCCATAGGCCACGGCCAGGCCGTCGATGCCCCGGTACGGCACCTCCCCCGTCAGCAGCTCCCACAGCAGCACCCCGTAACTGGGGGGGCAAAGGGGGGTCAAACACATGGGGAGCCACTGGGACCCCCCCCAAACCCCCGGGGCCCCCCTTGGATCTCCCCACCCTCCCCTTCTTG